TTCAAAGTTCATGAGAAGAGAATTCTCAGCACACTCAGCTGATCAAAATCCAGGCTCAGCACTGTCTGCCAGATTTGCTCTACGAGCTCTGTGAACTCAAAGTTAATTAATTTCTAGTTAATTGACATGCTAAGCAACGTGTTACTGTGGCTACACAGCCACTACCAGGATAACATGGGTATGTTTACTTCAATGGTGGTACTGTGGATATGCCCAATAAGTTTATCATAGCTGGGAGTGTGTCTTCCACACTCTGAATTCAGTCAATTTCTGAAATCTGAATACTTTTTCTTAGCTTGCTTCCTTTCTCATGACTGCAGCAGTGTAAGCTCTAGTGCTATTCCCAGGGAGTGCCTCCCTGTTACAGTTTGACATTCATCTACTTAAATGACGGGGTTAATGAGAATGCAGTGAGGATGAAAAGTGGAAGGGATTTTCGTAACTGCTTTATACGTTGTTGCAAATGCAAAATAGAAATAAAGATCTATTTTCTATTTCTTTTTACCTGATAAAAGTGACACATTTTAAGGGAGATAAGTATTTCTGTGAAATTTTTTTAATTTCTTAGAAAATTATTCTCAAATGCCTTGATGGTAAGTCTTCAGACAGCTCCAACTATTGATCAAATGGCTGAAAGCCAAGAGTTATTTACCGCCCAAGTGTTACTTAGGGCAGAGCAAACAACCGAGGGTATTATCCCAATTATACAGTGATTATTTTGGAGAAAGAATATGCCATTTGCATCCATAAATAATGCACTTCACCATCTCAGCTTTGCAAAGGGGGGGCACTTGTGCTGAGTAACTGCAGGCTTCTGAGAAATTGCTTTGAGGAGATATTCAAAGATGCCAGCAGGGAGGCGGGCATCTGGTTTCTGGAAGTCAGGTGACAAATGGGTATCGGTTGAGTGTAAACATACCTGATGTTTATTTCTGCATTGCTGCTTTTTGTTGAGGACTGCCATTGCTGCTTGGTGTTTCACTGACTCTGGAGCAAAAGAGGAACTTGGACCCAAAACTGGTGCTTACCTTTTTTTTTTTTTTTTGCTTTATGTTGATCAATCAAAGCTTGGTTTTGATGAGATCTAGGCAAAAATGAAAGAGAGCTTTGTTTGTGTAGATAAGGGACAAAGCTTCACTGCAAACTTACAAATTTCAGAGCTTGTGTTCAGACCTTATGTTCAGAAGTCCTGACTGTCCTCCAGCACCACTGAAATGAGTGGGAGCAGAGTGAAAAACAGTGAGAGATGCTTCATTTTTCCAGGACCCGAAATGTGCTTATGAAGGCCTGAAAGGATACTTGTACTTTAAATCTTAGCTGTCTTTTTGCAGTTGGGTTTGAGCTGTGTTGCACTGAGCATGTGAGGGAGTACGGGAGAGCAGCAGCTTTGTGCCCTGAAGCACTCTCTTTTTCAGACACACAGCACAGCTGTAAATCCCAAGGAGAGTTTCAGAATAGTCTCCATTGCTGATATCTTGTTTTTAAGAGCTCTTTGATGTTCTTAAAGACATGTTGGTAGTTTTCTTTTTCTAAATTCCTCGTTAGTTGAGGACAGGTTTTCCATTTATCTCTTTTCAACCTCTCTTAACTAATATTTCTTCTGCTGGCCTCATTTCACATGGTTGGAAATTACAAAGAAAGTTGAGGAATTATCTGGAAAACAGAAAGAAGTGCTGTGTTGATTTACCATACTCTGCTCATTGCTCATGTAACATACAAGCCTACATAAACTGCATTCACAGGCTGAATTATTACCTATTTCAACTAAAATATTCATAGAGTATTTCTGAACAGATTCAGAAGTCATTCATTATAGATTAAGGTCGTGGTTAGCAGTTTGAATTTATGCTTGGTTTGATGCACAGCAGCAAAACTTCTCTGCAGCTTGAGAGAGCAAGTAAACCCAGATGTGTGAATGCTCTGCGGGTCGATTTGTGGCTGGGACATAACCCCGTGTGGAAATGTCTGACGCTGTCTTTGCTCTGATCCTGAGCTCTTCCCTCTGGCCAACAGTCCTTGCTGGATGCTCCTCGTAGGGCCAGGTATTGTATTTCCCAAGTCAGTGAAGTCTTGTGGGACAGGAAAGTGAAAAAACAAGTTGGAAAACAACTGATACCAGGAGACAACATATAGTAATGAAAAGCATACCGGACTGCCTACGTGTGCATTCATAATTAGAAGGATAATATTGACTTATGCAGACCTTCAGTTTGACCTCTTCTCTCTGAATTCAAGCCCCGAGTCTGGAGGAGTGTAGAATAAAACTCTACATTTCCTCAAAAAAAAAAATTACCCTCTAAGGAAAGTCTTTTCCTAACTTCACGGAGACAAAGTGATGTAAATTTTGGCTGAGCCTGAAAAGGAGTGAATTTAATTTTTTCTTATTTTTTATTACCTAGACATAGTCTTACCAATTGCATCCTTTTTTGGCAACTATTGACAACTGCTTATTAGAAGGATGTTGATTTTAAGAGTAAGTGGAATAAACAGTACAAGAGGTAGATGAAAGCTGTGCTCTCCTGTATGGACAGACTGGAAAAGAGAAGGGAGTACATCTACCCTTAGTGCAGATGATTGAGTTGGCTGCTCTGAGAAAACAAGTGATAGATGTTTTCTGTCCATTTTCCAGCAGAAGTATTGTAGAGTAATATCAATAAATTTCCCTAATTCCCCAGGGTTTTTTTTCCTATTATTGTGATTAAGTATGTATTACTTTAAAAGCCAAAAAGCTTGTGTGCCTTTGTGCAAGATTCTGCAAGATATAACCAACCACAAAAGCTTGGATTAGTACATTTTAGACAGTTATTCCTCCAAAAGAAAATGAAATGTTTCTGATTACTTCTCTTCAGACACAGGTACTTTCAAATCATAAATAAGCATGAGAAGAAATTAGCTTCAGCTGTGGCATCTGTAGCACTTCTAGTCAGGTGATCATTCCTGATACCATGAAAGATCTCTATTATCTATATTATCACTCCAGCTGGGAGTGAGAGAGAGAAGCATTGTTGATTGGTAATGACAGAGATATGCCCAGCATTTGAATCCCATGCATAGGCTACAGTTACTTGCTTTTACCCTCTGCTTGTGGACCACTTCATACATGCTTGAGGTTATAGATGAAACAAACTGATTTTCCTTGTGCTGGGAAGGCACTGCAGAAATGTACGAAGAACGGGTGGGTTTAGAGAGAAGCTGAAGATGCTCTTGTAGCATGAATGTTAGTTTTCAAGTGGTAAACACCAGTGTAAACTGTTTTATTCACCTGCTGCTGGATGATAAAGTCAACATTAGGAAATAGTAAGGCACCTGAGACAACTGTAAAGGTGGACTGAAAGGCTTAAATGTAAGCTCTGTATGAGGATTCACTAACCAACCTTGAAGTGAATGCCTTTTACTAAATTTTATAAATGCTTTTTTTTTTTTTTTCCTATCATTGCTTTGACTGTGATTAGCAAGGGCAGTAAAATACAAGACAGTTAATTAAAGTCTGTTCCCATGAGATAACCAGCTTTCTTACTTTCATTTTGTCTAGTGTGGAAAAAGCCACCTGTGCTCACTTAGTCATATTTAGTTGACATGTATTACCAAATTGCTGCTTACTGTTCTCTACAGAACTTGGTCCCTGGTGACCAATGCATCCATTTGTGTGTTCCAAATTCAGATCTACAAAAATCCCTACATGCAGATAGTATAATCCATTATACCAATGATTCAACCTGATGGAGAGGAGATGTTCTCGTTCTCTGATCTCTTTGCACGCTTTCATGAAGCCCTGCTGTATATGTAATGTTATAAGCTGTGACCAGAGTTCAGCTTTACATCTCTGTCTCTCAAACTCATCTTGATTCCTTTCCTTTAGCAGCATACAAATAAGTTAATTGGTCATTTGACTTGTTTCTTGCAGAAAACCTGTTTGCCAGGTTCAAAGTGATCTATCACTTTGTTACCCTGTGATGACCTGACAAGAGAATTAGAGCTAGACCTTTCTCATGCATTTATACTTAATTAGAAATAGCCATTAGCAAGTTCAGGGCTCTCAATTTATGTATTTCCTGCTCGCATTTATTTTTTCTTGTGATTGGTTTCCTATAACTCATATATTAACCAGTAATGATAGAGTAATTGATTGTGAGCTTGTAAGTAGGTGGTCAGAGCTGGTGAGTGCTTTTGGCTCAATGAAGTAACAGCAGGGCTTCTGATAACTGAGAAACACCACATAATACCAAATTTTTATGTGTTTACTCATACTAATTACACACTTTTCTTTCGGTTCTTCAAATGGCCTTAATGGACCCTAATAACTATCTTGGAATAACCTGTTTCTCCTGAATGCCAATTAGAGTGTCAGCATCCTACCCCCCAGATTTGCCCCTTCTGAGAAGTTCATTAAAATCAATTCTCATAAATTTTAGAGTAGTGCATTTTTATTTCAGAAAATGCTAAGTATCACAAAGAGGTAAGTTGCTGTTAGTTACTCAATCAGATGAGGCTAGATACCCATCAAAAAACAATTAGTACTCACTTTAAAATAGTGTGATAATGAATTGCATTAATTGTTAATGTTCACTTTCAGTGTCATTACAGAACACATCCTAAATTCTTCCCCATAGGAAAACCAATTGACAGAAAAGTAATGCAAGACTGAGTGCAATTGTTTGTAATGGCTCAAGTTCCATTGCTTACTTGTGAGAGTGATTTTGGTCATGTTTTCACCTACTGGTTTTTGCTCACAAACCACACTAATATCTGTTTCCAGGACCTGATAGCGTAGATCTTTCCATCTCTATCTATATTATAGATAGAGATATTATCTATATTATATATATAGATATAGATATATATATAAAATATTATATATATATTATATATATTAATATAGATATATTATATCTATATTATACTATCTATATTCCATCAGGTCTAAATTTTCTAAGGAAAATAATAGGTGAATGTTAAGCAACTTCTTGAAAACAGTTTAGGCTCATCAAAATCTTTTGCAGAGATGTGAGATGGATCCCTGGTTGACTCTATTTGTCTGCCTGTTTGAATTTATGCTGGTCGTCAAAATAAAAAGCCTGGGGAAACCACTGAGTTGTGAACGTGAGAGGCAGCTCCTCCAGACTTCTCTGCAAAGAAGGTGAGTCATTTGGGAGGGTAAATGGGCAAGGAAAAGTCTGAATGACATTTGGAAAAGGAAGGGGGAGTGGAAAAATGATGCACTGAATAAAGAAAAATAAAAATGAAAGGTGAAAAGGTTGAGGTTCCAAGAGAAAAATAAGTGCCATGGAACTCTTGAAACAGCCAACAGATAGATAGATACCTTTAAGGCAAGGATTTTTGTCCCTTTGATTAGATGGCAGAGAGCTGTACAAAGTTAGAAAACAAGGTCTCTTTCTTCCCTATGGAGGAAATACAAGGGAAATTCACCTGCTAGTGAATGCCATCTGGTTTTATGAGAGGGAAAGATCAGTCAAATGCAGAAAACTGCCATAAAACAGCAAGTCTGCAGGTTACTGAGGAGGGCTGGCCCTCACATTCCCTCATTCTGAAGTTGGTCCATTTGCCAGGACAGATTTAATGTTTACAGAGCAGGCCAATATAATCTTCCTTTTATTTAGTTGTTTATTATCATTTATTGGCTTTTATTAACACACACAAAACTTCACCCAGTCTGTAAGCCAGTTGACCCTGAAGCCACTCCAGTCAGCACCGCAGCAAGGCACAGTGGCTCACTGTTGGTGGTTAATGCAGTCATACTGGTGCCTAATTGCTTGTTATGGTTGAAATGCTGATTTGCAGCCTGCAAAGGAGTTACAGATGGGGACACCAGCTACCTGATCTCTGAAATGCCAAGGTCTTGCTGCATGTCACGACAGCAGATGCTAGCATGGGTTGTACCTTGCTACAGGAATCTCTTCAGAGCAGGCATTCTGCAGACAGATATCTGCTCCAAAGAGAAAACTATGGGTAAGTGCATTTGAAAATCCCTTTGGTCTCTTGAAGATGCTTTATGCCACCTGAAAGCCTTCCACGTTCTTGATCTGTATCATTATCGGTGCTTATTAGGTTAAAGTTAAAATAGGGAATGAATTAGCTAAAAAAAAATGATGCATGATCAACAGATAATGCACTAGCAAACCTTGACCTTGTAAATACACATAAGTGACTCGTGTAAAGGCATTCCTGCTTAATTTTGGAATAAGGATGCTTGGGAGACAATCAAATGAGACAGTTTCAGCAATAAACAGTGAGCACTTGGTCCCATGTGTACTGTGAGCAGGTTTCAGGCAGGATGCAGCTAACCAGACATCATCAAGGCTTTAACAAAGTTGTAAGTAACGCTGCAATTCTGCACCATCAACAGTGTTTATTAACAAAGAGGTCAGTCGGAGCTGCAGGTGTTCAGCATTACTTGAGGTGTGGCTTTGGTGCAGCTTTGGAACAAACAGTCTGAATTCATTCAAGGTCTTGCTCTTTTTTCGAGCATGAAAAGCCATATCTTATCTTGCCAAAAGGCAAATTTCTGCTGCTTAAAGATGCCAGGCGCACATAACATACAAGATGCTCCACTATTTGTAGTGATCACAAACATGAGAGGACTGGAGCTGATCAGTATTCAGGTGCTGGCCTGCTAGAAAACTGTTTTCTGCTTGAACCTAGCGTTGTGGAGCTTCAATATGACAAGTTCCTGCTGCTTTTGCAATCTGAACTCAGCATGAGTACGTACATATGCCTACACTGAAGCAGACCAGGGAGATATTAACTCCTGGTTAGTACTAACTGCACATCTGTTTGACATCTAGACAGATTTTTACACCTATTCATAAATGTAAGGCCTTTTCTTATGAGGTGCAAGTGAGAGCACTAGGGCATGCTTTCAAAATTTAGAAGTTCCAGTTCTTCAGCTAAGAGAAAGGAAATGGTATACAAATAATACCATTTCCTTACCTTGGCTTCATGAGGAACAACATAATAGAAAACTGTTTTTCAGTAATGGGTGCTAACATCTCATTTTTTCTGAAGACTAGTGGCCATTCAGGTATTCTACAGAAAGGTGAACAGCACTGGTGAAGGAGCTTTTTGAAGCAATGAATGCTTAAATCTGTCATGAGCAGAGCAATGAGCTTAATGCTTCTTTCACCTTTGCTTGTTCAGAGGGTATCCCAATCATGAGGACCTCCCATTTCCTTTGCAATCTCAGCCCAAGGAGTTCCAGTTATTATAGCTGTTATTAGATCTAATTATAGATTTAACTTGTGTGTTACCCAGAGATGCTATCAGTCCAAGTCTTTGGTGTACTTGTGTATCTTTACTGTAAAGAAAGTTTTCAAAGGCTGTTAATTTTTCATCTGGCACCAGAAACCCATGTTTGTGCCCATCAGAAGGGTCAGCCTTGCAGAAGGACATATATTGAAAAAAGGGTTGGCTCTTTTTGAAACAGAGTTCAGAGGCAGTTTTATGAGGGTGGAGTGATGAAAGGAAGAGGCTGTAGTCTCCCTACCTCACTAACACAACACTTTACTGGGACCATGACTGCAGTATGCACTTACATGTGCCAACATCACTTTTAGAGGTGATCTGAATGGTTGGTGCTGTCCTCTGAAGTGGGAGACAGGCCGCATTTACCTTTTCAGAGAAGTCAGAATATATTGATGCAAATTGCCTGGAAACACCTTCAAGCTCTCAAGATGTGCTTTTACCTGTTTTGAAATTTTTGACACCCTTCTTTGGTGACAGCAATGTATAATTCCACCAAGAAGTACTGGAGGGTAACAAAAGTATCACAAAGTGCCTGTTCTCATACTTTCTGCCAGCCACTGCTCTTTGTGATGTTCGGAATAACAGGCTGTTGCCCAGTGAGCCCTTTTTGTCCTTATTTGCTCTCCTGGCCGAAGCACACACGGCTTGGCTCTCTCGAGAACATCAATAATACTTTGCCTATTGACAGCAGCTGGGGATAGGAGCAAAGTATGAAGTTCATTAAAGCACATGGAGTAGCAGGTAGATAAGCAATGCAATTCACTTTGCAGATTTCAGAGAATGACTCCCCCAGCAAGCTAGTGCCCATGCTGGAGCTATAGGATGAAACTATTTATTGTACACTGCATGTGAGAAATACAAGTTTTATAAATCAGATCTCTCCTGTGAGTTGACTCGGTGGCCCTGTCCTGAGAGTTTTCCTCCAGAAGGACCCCTGAGGGATATCTCGACTTTAACTAACAAGTCCTGACAACATTGAGGCTGCAGTTCTACACTTACGATTCATGGTTAAGAAATTCACTTTAGAAATAAGAAATTGCATATTCATTTCATTTCTCATTATGAAAAAGGTTTCAATTGGCTTTATTCCCTCTACTCCCTTGGATGATTGCAGCAACTGAAAATGTTCTGCCTTACAAGTGACATATTCCAGCAGATAGGATGGTGCTGCCAAATAATTATCAAAAAGGAGCCTTTGGCATGGATAAGGGCACTTTGCACTGCTAGCAAGACAAGCTCATATGCCTTCAGGTCTGCTTTTGGTACCTCTTGCCACACCTTTTGACCACGTTTTGGAGAACATAGCTATGAATTTATCACCAACGCATCCCTCAGATAGTGCATCTGGCACCAGCAGGTTGATCCAAGCCTGTGCAATTCACAGAAAGGGAAATGAAAATGCTGAAAAACTGATTTGCCAGAAAAAAAAAAAGGAGCCTCAGCATGGGGAGGAGGTCTGGGGAAACTGATGCTGTGTGTGCCAGAGCTGAAACATGAGCTATAATAAAAGGCAGCTCACTGAATGGTCAGAGTTACAGCAGCTGTTTCCTTGTGATTGCTGCTTCACATCTAATTAGTCCTCAGCAAGTTTTAAGACCATTCTCAACTATGATGAGCATATATTTGAGAGGGATAAAGGAAACGTGATTTGCTTTTGCAGGACCTGAGGTGCCCTGCAGGCTGCACTGAAATCACTGGGAGCTGTGAGCAATCACCATCCTTTGAAAAGTCTGAAATTGAGCATTCAGGGAGTAAATTAAGGACAGAGATCCCTGATCCCAGCTAGGCCATAGGAAAGCTGATGTGGGGAGAGTCTTCTGTCATGCGTGTTGTAAAGTGAATTATTAAATTTTTATGCTGGAGAGATTTTGTTCTTAAGGTTGGCAAAGATGGAATGTATTTCCCTACTTTTTTATTTTTGATTCGTTTGCTCTTCTACCCATGTTGCAAAATAAGGTTCCTTGATCAGTTACTGGTGAACAAGATACTCTCTTCATTATGAAGTTTGGTCTCTGTAGGAGTTTACTGGTCTTTCTTCAAATGCCTGGAAATGATTTCTGGGCTCAAGGGAAGGATGGAGAAAGAGGAGCTTTGACGTGAGGCGTTGGCTGTTCTCAGGAGGAACGTGTGCTAATGCATTCTCAGCAGGACAGCCAGGAACAGGAGAGCATAGTTCCTTCTGTGACTTCAGAGTTGTGCTGCTGCAAACCTATGATTGAGGGTCAGTGTTGTCCTCAGCATTGGCTGTTAAACAGATACCTATGTAGTAAGTGCGAAGGTAGAGTAAATGAGACCATCCCTTCCTTCTCTTTCAGCCTATGGCTGCTTTCATTTTGAGGGGATGTCTGTGCAGCTATGTCTGCTTAGGTTATTCTAATGCCCCTCTGCCTTTCAAGCGCATTAAAAAGCACTGTGGAAAAAGAGGAGGTACCTGGAAGGTGTTGAGGACAGACTGTGAGCATGGAGTTTCCAATAGAAACATCTAGGAAGAGAAACTCATGACTAAATCTAGGCTGTGCTTTGGAGAAGGGCTGTGTGGGTTGTTTCACGAGGATCTACTAACTAGACAGCAGTGCCTTTCTTTTCTCTCCTTTCATGCTTAGTGTTAGGAGCTGGCAATCCAGGAAACTTAATACCCATCCTATTCTTGCTTTCTCTTCTGAGAAAAGTGACCCCATGTGTCAGAAGCATTTTGTACACAAAGAATGAGAGCTTTCTTATTAGAGCATTGGTACATAAATCCCAGAACAGGAAAGAAAGTCAGGAGTTTGCATCAGAAACTGACAGTACAGATAACTAAAATATTGGCATATCAGAGAAAATATTTTTTGCCTTTTTCCCCCCAAAAAAAGATTCACAGAAATGGAAGCTCTTATTTCATGCTCAGTGGGTGTCTTCTTAAGGGAAGGAAAGCAAAAGAGATTGATCCTTTATGCTAAGTCCTGTCCTCCAAGCTGTATTCAGTTGGACCTGAGGAAAGCTGATAAACCTTATCAAAAGTGGACTGTGGTTGTAGCTCAGATAGATCCATCTGTTTCTCTGCAATTATTAGCCTTTGTACTAATTTTCAAGAATTTTGCTGTCTAGGAGATATGAGACTGAAAATGACTCCTGCAACATTAATTCATTTACTGAACAGTTCCATGCTTTGCTTAACACTGAGGGCATTAAAATGAGAGCTCCACAGTGGAAAATTGCAGATGGTTAGCGTGTAAGATACAAGAGTGAAGGTGAAGTTCAATTTTAAATAATGCTGCCTTTTCTTGATCCTTACTTTGATCAGGTAGTTTTGACAAACTGAGCAAAGCAACCTAATGCATTGGGCTCAAAAAGCTTGAAGTCCATTTCTCCTATAAGCTGTTGCAAAATAGCTCTAGGTATTCCTAAATAGCTTATTGGAGATGGTATTTGATGATGTATGAAGACGGATTTTTGTGCTGTCTTACAAAGGTACCTGCCTTTGTCTTCTGTTCAGCCTTAAGGGAGACGGTAAGACTTCAAAAGCTCTGCAATTTTTCTGTGAATTATCCCTAGGCTTCAGCTTCCAGCTTTGCAAATCCAGTTATCCCATCAGACCTGCTGACTTAGTACAAAAATCTTCCTAAATGTCGCAAATTCTTTGTTGAAATCAATAAGTATTTTGTCTTAAAAGATGCTAACAGAGCCTGTCCTAATGGCTCCTCTGGATTTCATCTCTGTACTTCCCCCTGTAAAAGCAAAATACAACAGAAATTTACTCCTATGTAGTTTTCAGTAGTTGGTATATTGAGTGATGCCTGAGTTTTCCACTGCCATTTTAAAATGACAAATACAATCTGTTTATACCATGCATCTTTACAGAAGCCATTTCAGCATAAGTTACCATATTTAGTGAAAAGTAGACATGAAAAGACAGCTGCTAATAACTGCCTCCTTCTGGAAACAACAGCCAGAGATTCTGATCCTTCTCATCTGAAGTGGCTGGATGTTGATCCAGTGTTCACTAAGATTCAGCCAATTCACAAGGAAAAAGAAAATTAATGTATTGTGTTATTCACCGCCTTTCAGATCTCCAGACATACTTAAATAAAGCAAGCAGACAAAAAAAAAAAAAAAAAAAAGACCAACAGATACCAGTCTTTATTATTATTATTCACCACTTGCAAATGCTTAATATCTGTGTCTGGGGAATAGGACCTGCAGCAGTAAGATGACAGTCTGTCTAACAGAGTCATCTGTTTGACAGAGGTTTACAAAGTGTAGAAATGACTGGGGGGATGCAGATTTCTAGGAGGTGCTGGAATAGAAGGAGAAAAAGGCATGCGAAAGACTTCAGACACCCAAAGCAAGCCATTTGGAGCCCCCTTTGAATGCCTGGAAATGAATTTCCCAAAGCTGTAATTTTAAACCTTATGACTGCATCATGCATCCTTTGCAAGACACGTTTTAATGCATCCAAACAAAGTGGAAAGTTTTAATTCTTTCTGCACCTGCTTATTAAAATATGAAAGGCTGGTTCACGTAAGTGTTCTGAAAAAATACCAGCTTACCTCATTATGGGCGACTAAGCTGCACCCAGACTGTTTTTAGTGCTACTTTCCAATCATATCCAGTTTTCCTACCAGGCCCTTTTTGCAAGGGCAGCTATTTCAGATGTGACAGTCCCTTTTGTTTGCACAGAATGGATCTGTGTGAGATGTGTTACGTGTACTGAGCAGTGACAGTAATTTTGCCGACAACAGAGAAGTGAAAGCTTCAAAGAAAACACTAGTGACAAATGTGCTAGAAATACAAAATACCAGCTGGCTGGCCCTCCCTGGAGGCAAACCTTTTATTTAAATTAAAAGGTTTTTCTCTTTAGATGGCCTGTCTATCTGTCATAAATTGATAGGATATATAAATGACCTGAATTTATTTCTCAGAAGATAATCGCCCTGGAATTTAATCTCCTAAATCTTCCTGACACTTTACTCTTCTTCCGTTCTTAGGCAGGTTCTATGTCTCCCAAGCAAAGCAGTGCTTTCCCTCACACAAGCAGTCACCTATTAGCTGCCACAGAGGGAAATACCTGCTTACACAGGGAGGTAAGAGGAGAAAGAAATACAGCAGACAGGCAACGGAGCTTGGGAAACAGTTCCTGTGGACTCTCTCTAGCACACTGTTCACAGTGAACTGAGAAAAATCTCTTTATGGCTTTCTTTGTTGTTTGGGGAGGCGTTCCAGTGTAGTGTCAGCTCCAGGGGTTGACCTGATGCTCTTGGAGGACTAGGGTAATTTGGTAAATAGTGTGAACAGCTGAGGATCTAAACACACTGGGCAATGTGCCACCATTGACCTGTGCAGGATTTGCACCATGAGGCAGTTTGTTATACAGTATTATTTTGCTATCCTAGGTTAATGCATTTTGCCTCTAAGCGATCCCCCAAATTTACATGTAATGGATATTTTACTAGGATTGTTTTTGACCCTTTTGCAGTCAGTAAGAGTTTGGTTTTCAGGTTATATATATATATATATTTTCAGCCCTCAAATTCTCTGTGCAGGAGCCCTAGAAACATTTCGTTTGTGATCTTACATTTGATTGCTCTTAGAAAAATATTTGGTGGCGGGTGAGGTTTGACATTCCACGTTGCTCAGATATTGTGCAAAAGGTTTGAGAATGCAGCAGAATTCACAGCAGTGCTCGGTTTTGAGCATCTGCAAGTGTATTTTTTTTTTCAGAGGAACAATTGTGCTGCTCTGAAGCTTGACAACCTGGATCCTTTCTGAAATGCTTCAGTCGGTGAAACTGGATGATGAAATCCCAAAATCTGGCTCAAAACATGCTGTCATTTTAGTTTTGTTTTTTAAAGCAAGCAAAGTCAGCGGGATTGTTTCAGTAAAGCAATGTTCTTTCAAAGTTGTAGGTAGGATATCAATGTTGGGAAAGTTTTAAAAAAATGCTTATGTTTATTTGTACTGGTAGATGCTTAAGTTTCCTTACCGTGTATAACATCATCAGCCTTGTCTATTTGCAGATGCTTAAATCATTTTGGATTCTAATGCAAAAGCATTTTTGAACCTCTAGCCTGAAGAGTCAGTGAAAGTTGCTGGGATTCCTAGTCCTACCTGTTTACGGAAAAAGGAAATTATTGAAAAATATGATTCCTGTAATTCTTTGAAATACTTGGTGCCAATTGCATGTTTCCTTCTAAATTGTTAAAGTCTCTGTGTAAATTTCTGCTTTTCTGTGGGAAAAATGCAGGAGTAGAATTCTGCATTTTGCCAGATCCTGCTGGGAAGCAGCTGCGTGTGTACTTTGCACATCTGTCAGAGCAGGCTGCTGAGATCTCCAGATCTCAAGACTGTCCCAGTTGATTTAGCTCCGGGACATTTTTGTAAGTAACAGTGTCATAAGTCTATTTGATAGCGGTGGGCATTTATTCTTCTGCAAATGTATCTTGACCTCCACTTACCACTGTTAAAAATCATTGCTTTTACAGCTTCTGGGCTAGCTTAGGGCAGTTCTTTGCAGGGCAGCTGACGTGAAGATTTAGATATGTGAGATGTTTATGAATGTGATGCACTGAAGGGATCTAGGGATCTTTACAGCTCGGGCAGCATCTGCTGCCTTTTTCATGCCAGCAAAGACATGAGGAGTGAGAAGGAAAACAAACAAATGGGGACGCAGGGAAGGAGATAAAGACTTTTTATGGGAAGTCCTCTCTCTCTTTCCTATTCCTTAGCAAAGAAATGGTAGAGAGGAATATTTTCATCCCGCATGTGACGGAGGAGGTGTACACAGTAACTGCTAATTCTGCTCACAGTTCTTATCTCATTTCTTAGTAGCTCTACCAGGAGCTGCTGTGCATCCAGGCAGTGAGCTATCAATTTCCTGCTGCAGGACAAGAAGAGCATAAGAATAAATTTCATTTTGTGCAAGCCCATTAGTCAGCTGTTAGGGGATTTTCCCTCCTGACTACCTTCAGTGTAGCCTTTGACTTCTTTTTGTTGGTTTTCTCCTGTTTCTTCCATTGTGATCAGTAACAGTTTCCAGTCTACCATACTGCTGGGAAGAACTCCCAGCCCAGGGTAACAAGATGCTATTGCTTGTTTCTCAGCCTCACCAGGGGGTCTGTGCTGAAATTGAAGGATTTGTTTTCATCATAGTAGTGTGCACT